TTGTCATGAAGGGCAAAATTAGCTATATAGACCAAAATAATTTTTTGAACCAGGCTGTAAACATGTTTTTTTCTGCTGTAAAGTTGGGCATTTTAACATGGAGTCTATGGGATTGACTCCCTTTTGCAGCCAGCCTCTAGCGGCCAGCTGATGAATTACAGTTTAAGTCACTTCCTTGTTGGCTTCATGAGAGAGAGTGGGAGGTTGCCGCTTGGTCAAAACTCACTGCCAAATTTTTAGGAATGAACTAATAAATGTCAAGAAACACACATCCACATCCAGGTGTATTATTAAAGAGATAGTCCAGAGTCTCATGGTCATGGAAAACCTGTTTTTATTGGAATTTTGATTTCCAGTCCTGGAAAAGTCATGGAAATGTTTATAGTTTAATATAGATCTTTATAGGTATGCTGTTATGTATGTACCAGTGTTATTTTAATTTTATTTATAGTATTTATTATTTGAACTTTTATTGTTGTTACATTTTATTTTTACATTTTCAGTTTAGATTTTAATTTTAGGTTTTTTTTGTATTTTGTGCTTTTATAATTTTCATTAGTTTAAAAAAATATTTACATTATTTCAGTTTTAGTATTTTTAGCAATTCAAACTTATTTTATGTCAGTTGTAGGGCTGCAAAACGATTAATTGCGATTAATCGATTCAAAATAAAAAAATTGTTTGCATAATATATGTGTGTGTTCTGTGCATATTTATTATGTATTTATAAATACACACACATACAGTATATATTTTGAAAATATTTACATGTCTATATTTATTAGGGCTGTCGCGATAACCGCATTACCGCGTGTTTTCTTTTTTCATAGGGTTATGCCCTTCTCATTTCGTGCATGTGTACTGAATATTAAATAAGTTAGTAATGATAACATAATGTGTACCATGCTGATTTGTACTGAGGCTCCGTAGATTTGCACTAACAAGCCTAAACAGATAACGAATGAGAGAGAGATCAAGTTTACTTCACTTCCTGTTTCAAGCTATTTGGTTTTGGTTTCATTGGTTTCTGAATATGTATATATATATATATATGGCGATAATACCGCATACCATGCTATTGAGCCACTCAAAATTACCGCAAGGGAAATTCCTTCACCGCGACAGCCCTAATATTTATATTCATATAATTTATATTATAAATAAATATATTTAATATATAAAAATAACATATTTTTCTGAAATATATACATGCATGTGTGTATTTATATATACATAATAAATATACACAGAGTACACACACACATTATGTAAACAAAAACTTTTGTTTTGGATGCGATTAATCGCGATTAATAATTTGACAGCACTAATTTATATATAAAATATTGATATAAATATATGTACATACAAATATATACATATATGCGTGTGTATTTATATGTGCATAATACATATACACAGTACACACATATGTAAACATAATTTTTTATTTTGAATCGATTAATCTTTTTGCAGCCCTAGTTAGTTGCCAAGGCAAGATTTCTAATATTCCTAATTTAAATTTATAATTTATAATAATTATAGCTTTTTTTACGTTTTATTTGAATTAATAGTTTGTGTTTTAAGTTTATTTGCAGTATTTAGGTGACTCAATCTATCATATTATTTCAATTTTTTTAAAGTATTAATGACTAACATAATTATTGACAATTATCTGTACTTAGGGCTGTGCAATTAATCGAATGCGATTGTCATGCACATCTCGTCAGTAAAGCCGGTACTGTGATTAGTAGTAAATCTCCATCACGTGCTTTCAGATGGAGCAGCATTTAATGCACAGAGCCGTAGTTCACAAGCTACGCAATATCGCGTTCATTGCAATAATGCGTATTATAACCAATATAGGCATAACTAATCGCTAAATAATCAGATTTAATTTGGCAAATTCTTCAAAAACTTTTTTTTATAAAATATTACATTTGCTTCTCCAGCCCAAGCATTTGCACAGATAGTCGTCAAAAAATTGAAAGCAGAAAATCACTGTTTTTAATGATTCTCCCATGTGTGTTTCAGAGACTGAAGCGTCGCTGCTGATGTCGGGTCAGCCTGCACTTCAAGAATCAGAGCCGAATCCAGCCGAGTCCAGTGCTGGAGAGAGAACGTCAGTACCTCTTTAATCACATATGCTTGTAATCCTCCTCATGTTGTGTTCATGTGTCTGTGTTTTCCTCAGTGAAGGTCTGTCTGGAGTAGAGCTGTCTGACCTGACTCTGAACACTGAACCCCTGACGCATGTGGTCAGAGGACTGAGCCGCAAGAAACCGCAGCATGCCTTCAGTGTGTCAGCATTCGAGGAACAGTTCAATCAACTGCCAGGTGCTTCACCTGTTATACTCCTGTTATATTTGTTAGCAAGATTGAACTGGTGTTTTGCATATGTTTTGGTATATCGACACACAACACATGTTCAAAGTCACTTAGTATCATCTAACCCCTTTTCTATATTCTCAGACAACACAGAGGACACCTCGCATGTCTTTCATAAAGGTGATGTCTCTCAGGCGAAAGGAGATGCTTCTCAAGATTTAGATCTGTCTTCTGGCTCAAAAAGGTAAATGCTTTGTCCATGATATCTCGGTAGACTGGCCAAGTCACTAAAACTTACATTAGAAAGTAAATATAATTACTAGCTTGTTGTTAATTTTATTAGGAACTGCAATATAATACATAGTAGAGCGGCACGATAATGGTTAAACTGATAATCACAATTATTTTGCTCAGAAATTATCAATAAGCATGATTATTATAATTTTTTTAAATTCTTTTTGGATTTCATTAGAATTATTGCACTTTTATATAAAATGTCAACTCTTGTGGTTTATTGGACCTTGTTTAGGATCTAGATATACTTAGCATATAAATACACACACACACACACTTTACATTGAAAACCAGTACAACAAGAACATTCTCTCAAAAGCTAAACTAACAAAATTCGTAATATTGATTCCCACATTTCCAAATTGTTAAAACAACAGCGCAAGTGCATTTATTCAGCAGTCGCAATTGCAAACAATATATTTGTGGTTCATGTTTGGATTTGTTACAGTTCAGGTTTTCTCGCGGCAAACAGTCATGTGAAAGAAAACAGACTAGCTGTATTAAACTTTCTTTTGAGAAAAAGATTGCAGTGGAGATCACTAAACTCCAACTTAAACGTTTGCAGGTGTTTTTAGATGATCAGTGCTTGATTTGCACATTGTTGCCAGGTTGGGAAGATAAAAACACTTGGCTACGTGTATCCATTTAGGAAAAAGCTTGCAGACGGTTTTGCTTAAATAATGAAGAAAAGTAGAAATAATGATCACGATTAAAATATGATTTATCGTACTGTAAGAAAGAAGATGTAAGGGACATGCATGATTGAGGCGTTTTGAGTGTGATTCAAGTTTATTTCCTGTCAGTGGGCTGAACCTGACCTTGAAGACCCCATTTGTAGAGAAGCGCATTGAGAGGGCGGGGCTTCAGAGGAAGGTGTCCAATCGGAGGCTGCAGTCTGTGGATGCATTTGATGAGGCCGTTCAGAGATGCCTGGAGCAGGGTCCTAACCAAGGTTTATATAAATTCTAAAATTTTGCATCCATCCTAATTTGTCTGTATCTAAAATGGTTTCTCTCTCCTTTAGAGCACTCTGTATTTCAGGATGGAAAAACTCTAGAAGATTCTTCCTGGCAGAAGTTCACTCTCGGCCTCAGCGATGTCACAGAGCTTTATGTCCAGTCTAAAAAAGACGACACAATGGGACCTTCTGCAGAGAACGAGAGAGAACATGAGCCCGAGAGAGCCAGTGATATTCCTGACTCCGAACCTTTAATTCAAGAAGAAAAAGATCATGAGATGGAATCACAGGATGAGGAAGAGGTGGTGCCTTCATCCCAAGATGATGTGTATGTGAGTGCAGAAGATGATATTGTACTTGCTCCAACGCAGGCGATGACAGAATCACTTCCTAAATCTCATGACGCGGAGCTACAAGATCGAGAATTTGTGGAGGAAGTTGAGATTGGGAACGTTGTGGAAATTGAGTACGAGAACGTTGTGGAAACTGAGGATCAGGAAGTTTTGGAAATTGAGGATGACAGCGTTGAGGAAGTCAAAGATGAGAACGCTGAGGAAGTCGAGGATGAGAACGCTGAGGAAGTCGAGGATGAGAACGCTGAGGAATTCGAGGATGAGAACGTTGAGGAATTCGAGGATGAGAGCGCTTCGGAAGTTGAGGATGAGAGCGCTTCGGAAGTCGAGGATGAGAACGCTTCGGAAGTCGAGGATGAGAGCGCTTCGGAAGTTGAGGATGAGAGCGCTTCGGAAGTCGAGGATGAGAACGCTTCGGAAGTCGAGGATGAGAGCGCTTCGGAAGTTGAGGATGAGAGCGCTTCGGAGAGAACGCTGAGGAAGTCGAGGATGAGGAGGTTGTTGAAGCTGAACATGAAAATATTGACACCTCACAGTATCTAGAGCGAATAACTCGTAGAGCTCATCGCTCAGAGGGAGGAGGTGCTGTCTTGGGAATTCCAGGCACCACGAGAGTCACAAAGAGTTTTGGAGCTGGATTGAACCCCAGAGAGAAAGGTGAGGACAGTGAGACTGCCTGAAGTGACAAAATCACAAAGTTCTTCACCAGTGATATCTGAAATTAATCGCTAATTCAGTTTGTTTGTGGGCTAGTAAAAACCTCATGTGTTTCTGTTCAGATCTTTTGGATTTTGTCGATGAGGGCAGAGAGAGTTTACAGGACATTCTAGATGAAGAAAGAGAACCACCGAGCAGCCCTGAGTTTCCTCAGCTCCACCCTGCAGCAGAGCTCAGCACACCAGAGCAGAGGTCACAGCAACATGAGGCTAGTCTGGCTGAAGAAGATGTGCCAGAGCTTGCAGAAGATGATGACGCCCAAGAAGAACCGAACCAATCAGAGGAGGAGGAGGAGGAGCTGATGGACTATGAACCAGCCAATCACAGCCCTGAATTTCCACAGGACGTGGAAGAAGAGGACGATGATGACGATGCTCTTAGTGCAGGTGACTCCCACTTTCACATCCAGTTCATCTTGGTAAATCAGTGCGTTTGAATGAGTCATTTTAATAAACTGGTTTAAGAACGTCCAGTTATACATAGTAAATCAGTTCATTTGATTGAATCGTTTAATGGACGAGTTCACCCAATTCTTTTTAGCAAGCCAGTTCATTTGAGTGAATCATTTCAATAAACTGGTTCAGTAATATTTTAGCAAAACTAATTCGTTTGAATTAATCATTTTAATAAACTAGTTCAAAAACCAGTACATTAAAAATGTGCACAAATTCCCATATCTTTACTAAAATCCTCAAATTCTATACTCAAAATTTTGTACTCAAATTCTGCATTATCATAAATGTATTTTGTTACAATGTTTGCGTGAATCATTTGTGAGCGAGTTCTACCCAATTATTAAAAATAACCATTTTAAAAGAATGATTACTTGCGAATCAGATATAGCTAGGATAACTTGCATTTACTTTAGCTTTTTTTTTCATTTTAGAATTGTCCATGAAAACTCCTGCGTTTGTAAGACAGAAAAGAGTTTTCGCAAGTCGTACTGCGCAGACTACGCCAACTGTCCTTAAAGAAGTGAACGCTGGGTAATTTACCAACAACATTCTTCTTCCTGATGTCCATTTTACAGTCTCCTAATGCAAATCTAAAACCCATTTATCTCAGTCCTGCCCCTCAGGTTGCCAAACGAGCCCCCAGACAGAAGCGTCAGACGGGGGTCAATGTTCTTCCCAAGAGTTACGTCATGAGCGTGTTCAAGCACTTCGCCAAGACCAAGGTGGCCAGTGACGTCTACCCTGCCATTAATGAAATGTAAGCCCTCAGGGAACAGTTATTTACCCTATTGCAACATGAATATTTGAAGTTACATCTCCTCCATTGGTTGTGTGTGCTTTTCTTTTTATTATTCCTCTTAGTCTTAAGAAGTACTTTGAACGGCTAGCAGACGATCTGGAAGCATATGCTACTCATGCCAAACGTAAAACTATTGAGGTTGAAGATTTTGAGCTCCTCATGAGAAGGTAAATATTAAAAGGAATAGTTCAATTTACCCACCCTTAGGCCATCCAAGATGTTGTAGATGAGTTTGTTTGTTCATCAGAACAGATTTGGAGAAATTTTGCATTACAACACTTGCTCACCAATGGATCCTCTGCAGTGAATGGGTGCCATCAGAATGAGAGTCCAAACAGCTGATAAAAACATCACAAGTAATCCACACCACTCCAGTCCATCAATTAACATCTTGTGAAGTGAAAAGATGCGTGTTTGTAAGAAACTAATCCATCATTAGGAAGCTTTTAAGGTTAAATGGTCACTTCAAAATATGAGTAAAATATCAAAATCCACCAACATACTTGTTTAGAACTGTTTTGGACTGCTTTCACTTGTAAACAGTGCTTAATTGGTGCACATTTCTCTCCTAATTCAGACGATGGGTTTTTCACTGGAGAAAAAGTATTATGGATGGACTCTTTTTGCTTCAAGATGTTAAAGGGTTAGTTCGCCCCAAAATGAAAATTAGGCTGCGTTTTACTCACCCCCGATGCATCCTAGGTGTATATGACTTTCTTCTTTCAGACGAATCCATTGATGGACTCATGTGGGTTATTTGTGGATTATTGTGATGTTTTTATCAGCTGTTTGGACTCTCTGCGGGTCATTCACTATTCCTTTAAGATGTATTGAGTTGAATGACTTGTTTTTGTATACTTTTGCAAATTTGGCTGTTTATCATGTTCCAGTACTTGTTTCTCATATTTTTCTTAGGCAGGGCTTTGTGACAGACACCACGCCTGTGAATATACTGATAGAGAAATATCTTCCAATGGAGTATCGGAAACTTCTCATCCCGGTGGCCACCAGCGGAAACAAAGTCATCCCAAATCAAAGAAGGTGAACATGCAGATGTGACGTCCTCCTTAAACACTGCAGGTGGCTCCGCATATCTGCATGTGTTCTTGTAAATATGTTCAAAACAATAAATGCCTTGATTTGTAAATAAGGCTTTGTGTAATATATATCTGCTATTTGTTTTATGCAGCACAATTAAAAAATATGCTTTCAGTTCTTTGTATTTTTTAGCCATTTATGTATTTTTTTCCAAAACAAACATTAAAAACCACAAAAAAATTCAAATTGAAGTCCCTGTCTTATTGTGCATGATTCATCTGCACACAATATTCCAAAGACAATGTGCTTTTCATAAGCTTTCCTCAAAATAATTAGCCTCAGAAATGTTTATCCCATGGAAAAATATAAATCACAAATATCAGCCTTCTAATTCTTAGTTGGAAATTATCTGAAATATGCTGGTTTGGAATAGAATACTAGAGTATTTTTTACTCTGCACCATGCAGTATATACTATATACTAATTTATTCAGTCTATAATGTATACTTCCAATTTTGTGTAAATCATGTACTTTATTTGTCACACTGGAAATGAAAGTGTATTGCATTCTGGGCTACGCCGTGACCATTCTGCAGTCTGTTCGCATTGTAAATTGCACATTTGGTAAATTTATTTGACAAATATAGGGTATTCCATGCATACAGTATGGAATATACTGTGGATGTCATACAAACTGAGAAAATAGTATTTTGTAGGGGTGTGAGTTTTACATATTTATACACTGTTTTCCGTCAAAATAAAAGCTGTATGATTTTAAATTAAAACATCAATAAATATTTGATAAATATTTTTTTGCAGTGCAAAATTAATGCAATAGTAATATTTCTGTATTGATTAGACAATATTTTGAATAATAATAAAAATAATTCTAAATAAAAAAAAATACAATTGGACAAAAAAAATTATAATAATCTAGAAATGTGTTTGCATGATGTGTCCACTAAGTGGCAGTCACACTCCATCACAGATGAGTTTAATAGGCGTCAAAGTGGTGTCTTACAGGCGATTGAGTTCTACACCTGTATTGTTCATTATAAAAATGGATATTGCCAGTCTTGGATGCTGATTGGTCAGTACAACATTTCAAAATGCACATCATTGTATTCTCTATACAGTATATTATATACATAGTATAGACTATATCACTAACCTTAGCTTACTTATCATGATTAGATCTTGTGGAAGGTTTAAACTTCATGCATTTGTATAGACTATTTTTAAAAGCAATAAGGACATAATATTTTGTGAATACCTGAAGTAAGCAAATTTAAATTTTTTACTCTTAATTTACTCATACATGCTCATTTCCAGTATAAAGCCAAATCTTGACCTCTTATTCATAGCCTCTTGTACTTTATTGCTTAAATAAGCACTTTAATGTGATGCAATGATGTATAGAAGAGTTTAGGTGAAAGTAATTAATGCACCATTTCTTATTCTTTTCCTCCAGCTTTTTTCCCTTCACTAATGACCGAAGCAAACATGTGTGCGTAAGAGTGTGTGTGAGAGCGAGAGTTTTACAAGGCCAAGTCTGGTTTTGAGATTTGCAGCTCCAGACAGACACTGGATTCCTGTTCCTTTCGAAAAACTATTTCAATAACTCTTGTCTTTATTTAGTGTCAGACTGGATTTAGATCCAAATCTTTCTATTCCAGATCCGGCTCATGTTTCACACCGTTTTCATTGTGTTGTCGCTATAGATCGAGTCGGCTATCCAGATGTTGGGTCCCTGTGGCCCTCTGGGGCCCCAACCTCCTCCTCCTCTTCTCCTCCTCCTGCATGCAGTGACCCTTCCACATTCTCCACAGTATGAGTCAGCAGTGCAGCGGCTCCAGCAAACTCCATCTATCATGTTGAGTTTCATTACAATGTAGCACTTAAACCAAACATCGCTCGAAAACGAACCTCTGACAAGCCAATCTGTTCTCTGTCTCCTTCATAAAACCACAAACGTGGGTCACACAGCGCCGCAGCAGCCAGAACACTCACGTCATCTCCCAGCGCATGACTCACCGGGTGAGAAATGATCCTCGATGTGGCTGAATCTGCGAGCGAACACGTGTGTGAAATTAGCTGACTTATTGCTTAAGATGAGATTTTCACTGATGGAGAGTGGTGTAAAATTGAAAAACCACTCGATCTATCTTTTAAAGTCAAACATTGACCCTATTTACTTTCTTCACACAGTAATTCTAAAGAAAAAACAGAATCTTTCATCAAATGTAACTTGCTCTGCTTCTGAAACGACTTTTTTTTCAGCTGACATCATCGAGTCCTTGTTTTTAGCCCCTCCCCTCCATCTACTTGCCATATAGAGACACTTTTAACCAATTCCTGATGGGAAAAGTGTTTTTTTTTTTTTTACTTGTGGAGAAATAAGATATATCACATTATGTGAGTAAAATAGTTTGCAGATGTTTCATGTTGACTTTACCCAGATTTGTTTTGTAGTTATCTCAACATGGTGAGCACTGTATTGAGGGGAAAATCTTTAGATAGAGTAACTGCATTCCACTAAGAAGTGATCATCCTTATTCTCTGTTCCCTTGAAAGACTCCACAATGAGAGCTTTAGAGGTTCAAGGCTGAATGGGTTCATGAAATAGCATACTAGAGAGATCTTTTATACTGCAAAAATAATAACAGTAGCATGCTATTCTGAATTCAGCCCAAGTCATGTTGTTTTGCACTTCTGTTTCAACCCCCTACACTATTTTGGACATAGTGTACAAGGACAATTTCTCCCATAAAGCGCCCTGCAAAAGCGTCATTTCTGCCATTTGAAACGCACTATAAACAGCCGTTCACAAAGAAAATGTGCGCTAGATGGACGTGTTTGATGGTCTCGCGAATGACGGCGTTCTGAAAACGCGGCGCTCAATTTAAAAGAAATTCAACTTTTAAAAAAAAAACGTCACTCACGTTTTTAAAGCAGAAAACGCAAAGAACAGCCACTTAAAGGATCTGTTAAAAAAGGATTAACACGTTCAAAAGCTGTGACTTGTTTTTCCCTCACTAGCACGTTTTGTTCGTCGCTTCGTTTCTGTGGTGTAGCCCCGCCCCCGTAAAACCTCATTGGTCTTCATATAGCTGAAATGTGTTCTGATTGGTTGTTGTGGACAGACAATGTATTTATCGCTGGGAAGTTTACTGTCAATTTGGAATACATTTTGAATTTTCCGAACTCTTTTATAGTTAGCAATGTTTTTTTTTGTGGTTTGTTTGTAAACCCTTAGTGCTACACCCAAATAATTAATGGGGTTTGCATGCAAGTATCGACAGAAAATTTGCTACTGTACTGTAGACCGTATTTTTGACATTTTATGTCATTCTCTATTGGTGAGATGTGACATCAGCCTGAAGCCTTCTTCTGGACAATGTCGAAAAGACATTAGCAAGTCCTCCAGCTATCTGTCGAAAATCTCAAAGTTTGAACGGTCAACTCGTCCAAAACAAACAGCAGAGTTGTGGGGTCCCTCGGTCGTGGCTGGTCACTAGGCGCGGATGTTTTCGTGTGGTTCTGTATCTGTTTCTGTGGTGTTGTGTGAATGTTTTCCGCTCTTCTGGCTGCAGGAAAAGTTTCCGTGTTACTGGCGCTTTTTCTTGTCCGTTCCTGCCAGAACTTGGACCCAGTGGACCCAAACCAATTTCATCATCACTGCGGGACTGAGTCACACTGCTACTCAGCAAAGAGAGTGAGAGAAAGATCTACTCTGCCAAAAATACATGAATATTACACACCAGATGGGAATAAAGTGAAAAGTAAATAGCAAAACAGAACGAAGGACAAAGATCTAGAAGGTTCAAGAAAGCTTGACCTGGTCAGACCTTTAGACACAGGCAAGCACCACTCATGTTTTCTTCAGAATATGCAATCTAGTTAGTCATACTAACCACAGGCAATATTAGCTAATGCAATTTATCAGTTTAATATGGTTTTAATCACACACTATTATTTTTTTTTTTAGGTTTCTGGCAGATGGACCATGACATTTAAAATCCCAAGTCTCAAAAACCGCAAAGACAAGTCATTTCCAGAGAAGGTGAGGGTTAGAACTGTTTCCCAGATCACAGTGTGGCCTCTGTTCACCAAGTGGACTTTGTAGTGTCTGGACATCATTTTAAGTCTTTATACAGTATGTTTCCTCTCATAAAGATGCCACGGTCCACATCCACACAGAATTCCTCTCACTGGTCCAGGTCTGGAACATTCCAGATCATTCTTTTAACCTTTTCAATTTTGAGGTTTATCTCTCTTTAAAGGAAGAGTTCATTTAAAATTTAGGCCATGTGTGACTTTCCAAACCTGTGTGACTTTGTTTCATTAATGGAAAGCGAGAAGAGAAATTCTGGATGGTGTGTCAGTCAATGTTTTCCATGCGTTTACAAAGAATGGACACTGGAGCTTCTACGATTTCAAAAAGGATGCTTAAGTACAGTTAAGTAAGTAAAAACGATATTTTAAAGTGTTCATATGATTCAGTATATTTAAAGTCTTACAAATCATACAATAGCTTTGTGTGAGATGGCTATTATAGTTTACTAAAACTAAAACCATAAAAAATCATTACTTGATATAAAATAACCCGTATTAACAGCAATAGAATAAGATATGTAAAAAATGAAAGCTTATTTTATTTCAGCTAGCTGCCCAGGCAATATTTCTTATTTTAATTTAGTTAACTTGATGTACTAAAATAACTAAAACTGAAGTAAAAAATGATTAAAAACAACACAGAAATAAAAAAAGACAAAACAAACAACAAAATTACTAAAAACTAAAATGAATGAAAACTGAAAATATAAAGTAATATTAATATTGGTTAAAAATATTAATAAAAGTTCCTCAGTAATACTAAAATAATGCTGATGTGAGGAAAATTAAGAAATCTTTGTATCAGTCTGATTCATAAACCAATTGTTCAAACCAATTTTGTGCATGGGATCAATTTGCTGAATCAGACATTGCTACTATTTTCCTGAACATACCCAAGCTGGAGTATTGACTAATGAACAAATAACTTTCATCTATTCTTCACAAAACATATCATACACATTTGAGTATAGTAGGAATTACCTACTTTTATGATGCTTTAATTTTTTTCCCGTCATTTTGGATTTCGAGATTTCAGGCTCCAGTCCTTATTGACATTAATTGTGTTGAAAACCATGAGCAATGATCATTTGTGTGATC